ATTTTTTTTTTTTTTTTTTTTTGCTGGTTTTTTAATTTTTTTTTCTTCTTTAAGTAATATAAAAATGTACAGTAAAACTGTAGAACATTTCTATTAGTATTCAATGACTGTTTGCTGCAGTGTTCAATTTTAAACCAAAAAAAAAATTATTGCAGAACAAAAAATTTTTTTCCAGTTTTATGTAAGTAATCAGGCAATCATTTGAATTAACCAAAAACAATCGCATTGGCTTCTGTGTTATAAAATTGTTGACAGTTCTGTGCACCGTCAATGGTGAAGGAAGAAATGTGTACGGAGCAATTCAATGTGCTTGTAGAAATGCAAAATTATTTTTTTTGGAAAATATTACTTTTTCTGATTATGCACGGAGCCTAAAATACATAAGCAGTTGTCAAAGTTTGCTGCTGGTATTCGCTTCCAGTTTATTTTCATCAAATTTGTCTACTCAGATAAGCCTCTGTAAAAATCTTTTTGTTCACATGTATCATCGATACTGTTCAGCAAAAAAAATTTTCAGATACACAAAGTTGATTTTTTACTGTTGCGAATATTTCTTCTTCTTCCTTTTTCTTCCATTCTGCACTCATCGATTACCTTCCAGATGCCTTCACCAGCGACACGTTTTGCCTTTTTGCTTACTTTACTCAAGCTCATTTTTTTAGTGCACCAAGAATTGAAGGTCAAATAAATTTAGTGAGATTTTGGTAATAAAAAACTACATCCATAGAATAATAAAATGACGAAAAAAATAGAGCAGTAAAAAAGAAAAGAAGAGAAATTAAAAACTTCTACATCGAAGGTTTACTGTCGTCCATTTTAGCTTTTGAAAAAAAAAAACTTATTGGTCAGAAGAGAAACACTGATTTTAGAAAATGAAGAAGTAAGGAAAAAAACATTTTTCCAAATGGTTCTTGCCAAGGCTTTTCCATGGGATACTGCTTGCCATTATAGAAGAAAAAAATGTAAGAAAGGAAGATATCATTAAATGTCATTACCATCGACGTTTGAATAATTTTCTAACTAAAGGTTACGTTGCATTTGCTGAACCAACTGATGTGTTTAGTAATCAACTTGCTGTTGACGTCGATCTTCATAAACACCGAGAAAATATGGTCGTATATTTATCTCCTTGTCAGTTTAAAGTGATTTTACGAATACTAAAACTGATGTGAAACAGGGAAAAAAAATTTTTTTTTGAAACAACAAATCAAAAGTACAAAAGGAAAACATAACAGATGAAGCAAAAAACAAAATAAAAAAAACAACACTTGAAAGAAAAAAAAAAGAAAACAAGGAAATCAAAAACAAAAAAAAAAAAACAATAAAAAAACGTCTTTTTTTTTACATTTTGTTTTTGTTCTTCATTGCTATTCATCTTTATTTTAGTTTTGTTATTATTACTTTCTCTCCTCCTTTTATTTTGTTTAGCTTTCAAATATGCATAGATGTGTACTGTATGTCCATTTACCTGAGAACTATATTTCAAATTTTGGGCATCTGTAAACCTCATCAAAAATAAAAAATCTTCAGTTTGCTTCATCGACAATTCAGTAATTTTCTAAACTAAATAAAGAATTTCCCATGATAAACATACAAAAAGCAAAAAGAAGAAGAAGAAAAACAATGTAGAAAGAACTTTGGCTGTTCTCTGATATCACCGCTGTTTGAAACAAACTATAACACGGAACTCCAGTTATCGGTGATAGAGTATTTTTAGTCATGAAATTTTTGAGCACTATAAATATTACCTACCTCTTAACAATACATAGGTATTTGTGCTTAATTTGGTTACAACCAATATAATTTTGTGAGTGTATTAAAGTCTGCAGTTATATTTAAGCTGTTTTAAAGGCGATATTAAATGATTGACATATTAGTTGGTGTTTACACAGAACAACTGATAACGGCATGTTACCCAACCAAATAAAATTATTACCTTTACACTGCTTCCATACGTCTCATTGCCATCCGTGTCAGTGCCATCCGTGTCAGTGATCAGTATGTTCTGGTAGATCTATTGTTGGCTTCACATTCGGTCAATATTGTTGAACCAAAAATTGAAGCAAAGGACTTCACAACAAACCCCTATAACGTCACTGCCGTATGTCCGTTTAGTGTTCGTATGAATTTTGACCAAAAAAAGAGAGTAGCTCTGTAGAAGTTTTAATCGTTAATTAGTTGTACCAACAGTGTTAATGCAAGATCTATGACAACAAAGGAAAAAATGGCTTTTATAAGTTATTCATCACAGTTAACTTTGTGTGTTTTTTCCTGCTCTTTTACACTTTTTTTTTTTTTGAAGTAGAAAAAGAAGGAAAAGGAAAATAAATTATATATTTTGTAACAAAAATTTTCCATCGATTTTTGATCATCGTTGTGGTTGCTTCACGGCTTTCTTCCGTTTTTCCAAACAAATGCCTCTGAACACACACACTAAATTGATTGCCTTCCAGTTAAAGATTTGTTTTATTGCTTTTTTTTGCCCTTCCTCTTCCTCTACTCCTTTAAAATCAATTTTCTACTTTCAACTCGTCCATTTTACCGATTAAACTTTTCCAGTTTTTTTTTTTTTAACGATCATCAGTTCCCTTCCTTACCACTTTTCATTTTTTATTTTTTTAATTTTTTCACCATTGGCAACCGATGTTGTTGCAGCAGTTGCCGTTGGCTGCTGTTGTTGACATGTAGGAATAAACAAATAAGGCCAAAGTTCCACTGAACTTAAGAACTATTAGAGTTGATATCTTGATTACGCGAAAATATGGTTCACCGTACTTTCAACTTCAATTTAAACAGACTTCACTATGTTTAAGTGGAAATTACGTGTTTTTAAAAAGATTTTAATTGTTCTCAACGTGATTCCCAACGTTTTTTTTACGTCGCTCAGTCTTAATACGTACTGAAGTTCTTTTTGCGTTTTACGCTTGAGAAAAATGGTTTATTCGAAATATTATTGCGCTACCAAATTTTGCTGTAGCTTTTGAAAAGTTTAAAACGCTGCTTGGCAACTTGTCAATATTGAGTTGCGGGAAGAAAAATTTTTAAGGAAAGTTGGTTGGAACGGTAAAAAAAATTTATAACTCTGTATCAGTACACCATATAACATTTATATATAAATATGTGAGTTTGTGTGTTTGTCTCTCTCGGTGTTCGTGAACATGTGTATGGAGGCGCTATCTAAATGCTTTCACTGGGGGTTGTGTTCGGTTTTTGCTCTTTGTGCTTGCTCTATAGTGTGGTTGGTTGCTGGGGTAATTGTTTGGAGTTGCCAGAACCGACTGATACGATCAGAAACAACAGCAGAGAGGGAGAAAAAAAAATAAATTGCTGGCCAAGGGTGTTATGAAAACGCATATAAACGTTGTAACGATACAAATGTTACCTTAGTGTATGAGAGGTCTACACTCAGGAAGTTGAAACGGTTTTTCCTGGAGTTCCATAATAGTAGTGTTTTGTCAGTGGTTCAAATTTAATTTTTTTCGAATGCTCCTAACCAGTTTTCAAGTTTATCCAAGTTTTGCGGAAATCATAAATTTTTTTTTATTCCAGATTGTGCTGGTCAAAAATTTATATTGATCAATGAGCATCATAAAACTTTTGCTTATATTAAAGGTTTCATTTTAGTGTAGGCAGTTTGACGGGAAATTTTTATTTGCTGAAACGATGACCGAGGCACTTTTTTTTCTTGCCTAAAATGCCTTAGATTATAAGTTCCGTATTTATTAAAACAAGCTTTTCTTCTTTGTATCATTTTTTTTAAACTAAAAATTTTTTCTGATACATTTTGGTTGTTTATTATTATTTATGGATTATGAGAAACATTAAAAATTTAGCATAAAAGCTTCTGTCAGTGAATCAGTTGAAGTGTTTTATAGCGGTACATTGATTTGCATTCAACAAAAAGCAATACGTAATAATGTTTGTTTATTGAATGAATGTTTTGAACTTGACTGATTACACAGTTGAGCTGTTGTTCACATTTCCACGTGACTTTTTTTCTTTTAGGCCTCAACAGTGAGGGTTCTTTGACGTTTTTTATTTTTTCATTTAAAATTTTCATTTTATTACCGGCGTTTTCCGCTGTCCTGTAGAACACTAAAATTATGGTAGCATTTTCCGTATATCATTCTTGAGTTTTTTTCTTTTTTTGAAAAACTAGAAGAGAAAGGGAAGGGCATTTATGGGTATTTAGAAATTTATATTAATGTCTAAAAGTCTATAAACAATTTGTTCTAAGGTGACATTAGTTTTCAAGAAATTTTTTGGTTTACATCTGTGTCAAGGTAGTGTTCTTCTGACGCAATAATTTTATTGGCCTACTGTTCTTCCAAAGTAAGCAAACATTTCAAATTGATTGTTATACAATGCATTTGGAGACTAAGCAGCAAAACGTGTTGGTGGATCGATAAGCACATCACGGCAAATATGTAAGAGATTTTGAAACAAAATTTGATGTATCCGTCTCTACTGTATAGTATGGGTGCTGCAGATAACTGATTGATTTGCATGAAATGTCTAGAATTGGCAGAGAATGACAGGGAAAAAAAAATTTTGTCAGCAATTTATTGGTATTTTTAAGTCCTCAAGAGTGCATTTAGATGATAGACAAAGAAAAAATGGGAAGTAAAGTAGGTTTAGGCTAAAGGCACAATTATTATTTATTTTTGAAGCTTATACTAATTGAAATCATTAAGTAAGGATAAAACTTATTTATTATTAAGTGCGTGCATTTTATCAGGGTGGAGAAGAAATGTTTTAGTGATTGTTTGAGCAGCTTTTTTCTTTTTTTGCTGCTTCCTAAATTTATGGTTAATACTAAAACTGGGAAAAGAAGTTATGCATGTGTTGGGATGCGTTTGCTGATATTTATCGGCATAGATTCAGTTTATGTTAGTGCATTAAAAATGAAATAAGAAAAGAAAGAAGGAAAAAAAAATCAATTTTTTTTTTTTAATGTCAGGTTTACTTGCTTTTCATTCTTTTAGTAAAGATGTTGAAGTAATCAGGTGTATTCGCGAATGTCCTATGCAGTTCTATAAAATTGATTTCGTATTATATTATTGTTTTTTTTTTTTCTCTTTTTTAAAATTTAATTTTGCATTATTGAGATGGTTTATGAAGCTTTCAGAGGAACAAATTTTTAATATTTTTTAATGCAGGTTTTCTTGTCGGCAATTGTTTTTTTTTTCTTTTTTTGTTTGAGATGGAATTTATCTGTGGGTGGGTTGGTGGTAGTGAAAAAGATTCCACGGTGTTCTTCTATGCCAGTAGTTTCAGATGGCTGTGGCCTAATATCGTTTGAATGAAAATTCATGAATGCCTGTTCATCTTACAAATTACTTTAAATTATAACGGTTTTTTCTTTTCTTTTTGTTTTTGTGTGGTTTAAAGCTGTTCATGGTTTTTGTTCACTTGAAGGTCTGTTATTCCCCCGTTAAGGTTCTTCTGTAAGCCATCTACGACCCTCTTGTAACTTTTTTTTCCCTAGTTAGAAAACCTATTTTTTAATTCTTTTCTGTCTTATTTCACAGGCGAACAAAATATTGTAGGCTAGGCCAGTTGCTTTCGCTCGGTTCAGCAGCTGATAAGTTGCATAACTGTAGTTTCACATAGCGTTATCACCAGTGTTCTCTGTTGTTGGGGAAGGGGAGAAAGGTTAGTTTGCGTGCAAGTGTATTCTTTCTTAGTCACATTTTGGTCTGAGCAGTAGTTATTTGAAAAGTAAGGGTTAGGCCCACTCATCTTCAATTAACCGGAACTGATCGGGTCAACATTTTGATTGTAACATCAGCCTATCTTGGAATTTTTATTGAAAAATAGTAAATTTTTTAACATCGCTTACTCTTGATTTGAACTGTTCATGGTAAGGTGCAATAGAACAAGAATTCGTGATATATATTCCTGCGGAATACAGAGTTTCTTTATATTTTTTTGTTTCTCTGCTTCATTCGGCGTGATTTGATTATGAAGGTATTATTCAAAAATGTATTCTTAACTTATTCCTGGGTATCCATGCTTTTGTTTCACAAAGGTTGATTACACCTTCGACTTTATTTTTCAGCAGAATGCTGCAGCACGCTTCTAAACCTTTACTGAAAACTTGTAAGAAGGTTGGTTTTTTCAAGATTTTTTTCCAACTTTTTCTTTCTGTTTTAATAAAAATTTTGTACTTCCAAACGTTTCTTATTGAAAACTTTAGTTATCTGCCAACTCCGTTCGTAATTTAATGCTCAAGGAACATCAAGGGTTCAAAATTTTATCTGAAGCTGAAGTTCCTGTTCCACCATATGGAGTCGCCAATTCACCAGAAGGGGCTTATGAGCACGCCAAAAAAATTGGTAATTTTCGTTAAATTAAGCCAGCTTTGATTTCAGTTTTTATTTCTATAGAACAGTAATGGAAATGGAGTTTTTGTCACCAGTATTCAGATTTGGAATAGAGTAGGTTAGAGTAGCATTATAATGCTTTGTGTGAGTAAACTATTACACATGCTCTTATTGTTTGGAAGGAGTAATACTTGAGCAGAAGTTTCTTTAGGAGGTAAAGACTATGTGATTAAAGCTCAAGTCATGGCTGGTGGTCGTGGAAAGGGACATTTCGATTCCGGCCTTCAGGGTGGCGTACAAGTTGTTTATACGTTAGTATTAATAGTTGCTAGTGTAGCGGACTTATGCTCTCTTCATCCTCCTTAGCGGAGGGGTGTAATGTAAATAATACCTTACTGCTTTAAGGCTTTTTAAGCTGCTTTTAAATTTATCAAAAAACTTCGCTCCCTTTCTTTCTATGTTACCTTTTTGTTTTCGCTATATTTCTTTTTTTTTTCTTTACATTATACTGGGTATTTTGAAAGAGAGAGATTTTTTTCTGTCTATGGAAATTGTTGGTTTCAGACCGGAGGAGGCTAGGGAGAAGGCGTCTAAAATGATAGGCTCTCATTTGATTACGAGACAGACTGACAAAAGAGGTCGGTTGTGCGAGGAGGTTATGGTTTGTAAACGATTGTTTACTCGTAGGGAGTACTACCTGTCCTTCACTCTTGACCGTCAAACATCGGTTTGTTTTAAAGTAGATTTGCAGCCATATGTCTAAGGGAAAGATTGGCAAACTAATTGTTTTGGGTGAAGTTTTGCTGCTTCTAGGGGCTTTATGAAACTCGGAAGTTGTCGTTTTTGAGGATTTGTGGCTTGTTTTGAAATGAACACGAATTTTAATTTGGGAGTGACAGTTTTCTACAGATGTTGCTGTTTCTTAACTAGGTTAATCCGAGGACAGCTAAAACCAGAATAAGACGATTCAGTAGATTCTTTGTAGACATTTTTGACCTAAACTTGATCAACATGAAATTACTCTTGTAGCTGAAATTGATAAAGAAAACTCCAAGTAAACACGGCAAGGACACATTAGAGGGGGTTTCGCCACGAAGATTTACGGTTGTCCAGTATGCTTTTTCGTCAAGATCGTTGAATGACTTTTGATTTAGTGTGTCCGCGGCAGTGATGAGTTCGTGTACGGTCGAATGGATCCTCTTTCACTAATATTCCTGAGGATCTTATTTGCTATTAACGATTAGGGTAATAAGGATCTGGCATGGGAAAGCTGTGTGGGGCGGGATCTTTGTCAAACCATATTGAGTGATCTGTTCTTCATCAGAATCAGAATCTGATCTCATTTGAAGCTTCTGGTAGAGTTCCTCCGTACGCTGCGGTTCGATTATAGTGGTTTGCTGCTCAGACATTACCAAATGAGATTCCATACTGCATTTTTGTTGTCTCAGGGAAATTGGGACGGCGTGACTTGGAAAAATGTCTACGACTCATTAAGTTTTTGGAATAGCGTAAGGCGGGGCTATGAAGCTTTTAGAGTTTTAAAGACTTAGAACTTTTTCTGTTTCATTTTCTTTATGAAATACCATAAGTTTTGATAACTTTTTTACATTTAAGGGTCCAGTTATAATCGGCTCATCTAGAGGAGGAGTTAATATCGAAGAAGTGGCTAAAACGGAACCTTCAGCAATAATTACTGTTCCTATAAATATTGAGGAAGGAGTTACTCCTAGTATAGCTGCTAAACTTGTTGACGATATGGGATTTGGGGTTAGTTTTATTATTTGCCACATTACAGTTTTTTTGCCTGACAGCAGCTATCTTATTTTTAGGAAGAATGCAAGGCGGAGGTTACAGATGTTGTTCAGAAGTTGTATAAGTTGTTTCTGAAATGTGACGCAACACTTCTCGAGATTAACCCACTTGCTGAAGATGTCAATGGCAAGGGTAAGAAGTTACCTCTTAATTGGACTAAGTTGCTTGCAGCATTTTGCAACGGATAGTGTTCAGTTTCATTTTTTCTATAGTTTAAAAAAGGCTTGCAGCATATTGCATGGATTGCAAGCTGATTTTGGATGCAAATGCTGCATTTCGCCATGCAGATTTGTTTGCATTAAAAGATATTAAACAGGAAGATCCTCTTGAAGTGAAAGCAGAACGCCATCAGTTAAACTTCATTAGGCTGGATGGAAATATCGGGTGCATGGGTAATAGTTTTGAACCATAATGAATTTTTTAAGAGTTTGTGTAGTTAAAAGTGCTGTAATATTTCATATAGGCTTCGCTGCTTGGGCAGTTAGTTAATTATAACAAATTCTTTAATGTTTCAACATGGTTCTCCTAATGGAAGATTTCTTCTTATAACTTTATATGCTTATTGTAACTGGTAGATCTGTTTGAGTGAATGGAGCGGGTTTGGCAATGGCTACTATGGACATCATCAAGCTTCATGGCGGGGAGCCAGCAAACTTCCTCGATGTCGGTGGCGGCGCTACTGTAGAACAGGTGACGGAAGCCTTCAAGCTTATTACTGCGGAAGAAAAGGTGAGGAATTTTTTTTTAATTTTACTTCTGTAGTTCGAGTTCTGCTTTCCTTCCATGTGGCGAGCAGCTTTCCAAAATTTTTAGGTTCAAGCCATCCTTGTAAACATATTTGGAGGAATAATGCGATGTGATGTAATTGCACAAGGTATTATCAATGCTGCGCTCGAACTGAAGTTAAAAGTTCCACTTGTTGTACGTCTTCAAGGTATACTTTTTTATCTCACCGTTTTACCATTTTAGAGTTTGATTTTCTTATATTTAGGCACAAAAGTAGAAGACGCCAAAGCTTTAATTGCTGCATCAAGCTTGAGGATATTACCTGTTGACGATTTGGATGAAGCAGCAAAATTGGTTGTAAGGCTTTCTTCAATTGTCGAATTGGCTCGAGCTCTACCTGTTGAAGTTCACTTCAACCTTCCTATTTAGGGGTTGCATCCGCCTTCAATTTTAAAAAAGTTCAAATAAATCGCTTTTTATGTGAAAAGGGTCCTCATTTATTGAGTCTTGCAAAGCTTTGGTGTATTTGCTACTTGAAGCAGGTTCTTTAGGATACTTAGCTGTCGCATTTGTAGTGTTCAAACGATTTTATTTATAAATCAAATTTTTTCTTGGATTTTGAATTTTCAAGACTATACTTATTTCACGGAAACATCCGTGTCATTGCATGGTTTCCATTAGTTTAGTTAGGGTTTGCTTGAATAGTTTTATGACTTTCTAGTATACTTTGCCGCAATTTGTCTTTCTATTATTCCATGTTGATAGATCTTTTCCTGATTGTTTAATCTAAATTATTCAAGGTCTGTTTTAACTTTGCCCCTCACTTAACGTCAAGTCAACTTTTATTTTTGTGTAACTTAGTAACGGTGATTATAGATTCTGATATCTTATTGACACTTTTTGCAAGTGGCTTACTGTTGGATAACGTGTCTGAAAGCTTTAATGTCAATAAATTTTGGGCAGAACAAGTCCTCAAACATATCATTAAAACGCTGCTATAAGTTTGCTAAAGTCGTGAAAAGAACTATTTTTTGAAAATGAAGTTCTATCCTCCCCTTTTTTTTGTATTCAATGTTGCATCGCAGTTTTTCTTTTATTTATTCGTTTATTGTTTATTTTTTATTTTATTTTTTGATTTTGATTTAATTTTTTTTCGATTTTATTAACATATCGTTTTAAATCGCTGGGAACGTTCATCTTTTTCAATTATCGCTGTTCTTGTGGCTTCCGAGAATTTTCACAGTGGGTAAAACGGCAGCATTGTTTTGATTAATTGAGCTGCAACTGGTATTTTCAGAAGCATGGCATCGTTTACAGTGCGTGCTGATCTGAACGCTGCAAAAACACTTGCATTTGACACGTTAGCACTTATAGTTGGGAAGGCGAAGAACTTGAAGGCGTTAAATTATGAGTCTAAACTTAAAGGAAGATTAGGGAGTTTTGTTTCTGACAAACTTTGGTCAGAGGCAATTTCAACTATTTCTAAAAGTGGATCGGCATCTATACCGCTTTATTTGAATTTTGCGAGGGTAAGGTTGAGTTGAATTAATTTCTGAAGTCTATCAGGTTTTTTTAGATTTATGTGGAAATGAAGTAAAATGTAGGAAAGATTTTTCTGATAAGTCTGTTGTAATACCAGATTCACTTTCTTTGTCATATTTAGATAATATCTGTGCCTGATGAAGTCAGCCGTCATAACGCACCGTCCAATGCTTTGGCAATATTCAAAGAACTCAAAAACTTTTCCAAACCGGAAGGAGTAAAAGTGTGTTTATTTTCCTACATTTGCATCAATGAACTTTTAAAAGTAGCTGATGCTATATTTGCTGCGAATTTTTTGCAGAATATTTCTGTAACTTTGTTAGCAGACTGGGTAGATGTCTGTGCCAGTGTTGCAGCAATATCACGTTGCTTTCCATTATACGATAGTCGAACTAATATTCAGTCACCACTCGAAGCTGTTGAATTAGAAATAATTGTTTCTGAAAACGATAAGGTCTCTTTTTCTTGCAAGTGCAATGCGACTGTATTTGGAATTTGCTGGTAAAGATAAAAGCAGTAAATTATAATTCAGTTAATACTTTATTGTCTACTTTAGTTTAGCTGATTTTCAGAGTCTTAGCTCTGCCGATATTTCTTTTCTACAAGATCTTTGTGACTCTATTCGGTTGAGTGCTAAGCTTACTGATATTCCCTGCAATACCCTTCACACAGAAGCTTTTGTCAGTGAAGCAGTGAAGTTGGTTGGAGGATTGAATGGAGTTAAATCCAGTATAATCAAGGTAACATTTTAAAGAGATATTATTTTAGACTGCTCTGCTTTTTTAAGTTAAGCAAATTTTAAAAAGATTTTTCGAAGGTACGTTGCTGGATGTTTGTGCTAGTTTTATCAGTGTTGCTTTTTTTAATCATATTTTATTGTTCTAACATTTGTCGTGGGATCTGTTTCAGTTTGGTGGCTCCATCTTCCTTATCAATTTTAATAAAACATAACCAGATTCATTACGAATTGAATTTAATGGGTTGCTTGGCTAAAAAAAGTGGAGCCACGAAACTCAAAGAGCTTTCTGTTGTGTTATATGTGTTTAATGGTTATCTATGGGTTCCTTAAAGTACATGGTTTCTTCATGTTTCGAAACATATTTCTAGATGAGAGGATTTTTAATGAATTATTTTTACATGTCAGTAGTGGTTTTCAAACGGTTTTACTTTTTTTCTTTTTTTTTGGAGGAATTTCTGAAATTTGTTGTTTTAGGGCGATGATCTTTTGAAGCAAGGGTTCGGTGGCATTTATCACGTTGGGAAAGCCGCACTGCATCCCCCTGTGTTTGCTTGTTTCAGTTATGAACCCGCAGGGGCTATGCAGACATATGCTTTGGTTGGTAAAGGCATAGTTTATGACAGTGGTGGTATGACACTTAAAGGAAGGACAATAATGCCAGGTTAGTTGGGACTTATCTTGTCCTATTCTTATATTCTTACTTCTTAATTTAACTTATTTATTGTAGGAATGAAACAGGATATGGGAGGAGCTGCTTCTATGTTAGCAGCTTTTTATGTATTAGTAAGATCAGGTTTTAAAGAAAATCTTCATCTCCTTCTCTGCGTTGCTGAAAATATGATTTCTCCTTCCGCTCTGTAAGTGCTGTTGAGGTGTAATTGGTAAAATGAGTTTAATATATTTAAAGATTTTTTAATTTTGCTGTAATCAACAACTTAGCTTGCTTGTAAATGGTGTGTTCATTTTAGCCGTCCTGATGATGTGATTACAATGCTAAGCGGTAAAAAAGTGGAAGTCAATAATACCGATGCGGAAGGCCGTTTGGTGCTTGCTGATGGTGTTTATTACGCAAAACAGATTCTGAAAGTAATTTCAAATTTTAGGTTTCCGCCTTTGATTATGCAATGCTAGTTCAGTACTTCAATCTGTTTGGTGCGAACAAAATCAAATTCGAAATAATAGTTCTTTTTGATAAATTAGGATTTTAAGGCCAATACAATAATTGATATGGCGACTTTAACTGGAGCCCAAAGACAGGCCACTGGTAAGTTACACGCAGCTGTGCTGACGAACAGTGAAGAATGGGAGAAAAGGATTTGCGCTGCCGGAAGATTTAGTGGTGATTTGGTACATCCTCTTCCGTTCTGTCCGGATTTACATTTTGCT